CAAAAAGTTTCGTTTGGTAGTACGAGCGTTTAGCTTTTAGTTAAAACAAAACGCTACAAATCTAAAAGCTACTTCATGTAGCGTTTAACAAAACGCTACTGAGCTTTTGAAATCAATTTCCATAATTACCCTTAAAAATATATTTATATATTTATTTATTTTTAACCAATTGTCCTTTTATGTAATTTTATATATTTCAAAAGCTTCCAGCTACTTTTGCCAAACACTCATATAACAAATAAAAGTTACAGCTTCCCGCTACCAGCTACCCGCTACACGCTACCCGTTACCAGCTACCCGCTACCCGCTTCCAGCTAACAGCTACTTTTGCCAAACACGCCCAAAGTCATGGAGCACCACTTACACACCCTTCAGGAAGTATGATGACATTAAAACGCATCAATGAGAGTACATTACTATTACTTGCATCCAACACTAACAAAAGAGCAACTTACAAAAAAATATTGATGACATTAACATAGGTTTCTCCTTTTGTCCACAATGTTGATAATCTGCTAAAAAAATTTGCTTTTTTGGAAGCAATAGTGGTAGGAAGTTCAACCCAATTGGCAAATCCTTGCATTAAAATAGCTCCTGAATCAACATTTTGACTTTTCAGCTTCTAACTTTTGTTTTGTTTGAGAAGATAAGAACAGAAGGATGCAATTGAAAGTATATCAAGAATACTTATATGGTAAACCTTTGAAGATTGTTTATACAAAACTCCCAAAGTACACTGTTCATCTTGGAAAATTCCAAATCCATGCCCTTGGAACATCAATTGGATTCAAACCAATGCAGGATCAACAAACATCTACACATGGATGGATGTCGTGGTGCTAATTAGGTGTTAGTATGATGGAATAAATAGTCAAAGAAGTAGAGAATGTGATACATCACATGATTTTCAGTATACGGTGCTCTATTTCCATCCTATTTTCTTCCAATGTATGTCTTAAAATCTTATTTGAGGAGTACTGCTGAGTCGATTCCGATTCCGTTATTATGAGGAGAAGTGTTGCTGAAGGAATCAAATCTAGAGAAGTTATTGATTGAATCATCTTCAAAAAACGGAATAGGAAATAGAATTGCCATGAGGAGAATCGGGATTACTATAAGCAGGTGTGCTCGGAATGGAATCAGCAAAAACTGAAAATGGGCCTTGGTTCTGGAACAAATTCTTTCCGGAGGCGAACCAGAATAGTTATATGTTGGAGTGCTTGGAATAGAATCAAACTTTGGGAGCTCTGTTCTTATAGGATTTAAACCCCGACCCCAGTTATCAGAAAAAGAATGAAATAACATATTATTCCCATTAATAATTATGATATGAGGTGTTTTAATAAAATAGAAAAAATAAAAATAAATATATGTACCGGTTGGTAAAACAATATTCATTATATATAATTATCATTTCTATGGATTTCTAACATGTAGTTTCCTCTCCCAATCAATGACATACTCTATGTTTGGACCATAGAGTCTAACTGTCACATGAACCAGTTCCTCTACGGATACTTTGAGCACTACAACAACAAATTACAGAGGCCATGATATAGAAGAATACAAAAACTGATGTATCTTTATCTCTTAGTATTTAAACTATAAAAAAATGTTTTTTATTGGTTCAAGTCTAGTTGATGCAAAATCAATAAGCAAAACAAATAAAAAAAAGATACATACGGAGATTTAAGTAAAATTAAAATCATTCTACAAAGAGTAAGAGAAACCTTACATTGAAATCAAAACTTGGAGAAAAACTCAAGGAAAATAACCTGAACATAAATCAATTCAAAAAAGAAATTTTTATTTACATTAGTATGAAGTCGAATCCAAAGAAATGGAAATTAAAATCATTTTATAAAGAATAAGAAAACCCATACCTTTAGAGGATAAATTGGGGCAGAAATCGAATGTAGGAATTGTTTCGACGGAAGTTTCTAGCACAAAGAGGATGAAGACAAACTTACGGTCAATTACTTCAATTGGACCAAAACACGAAGCAACTTAATTTGATAGGACCAACACAAAATATTATTTAAACATTGCAATTGAAAAAGAAAAGTAAGCAGACATATTAGAAAAGTAAGCAGACATATTTATCCTACATATGCATCTTAAATACAAATGAAGATTTCATCTCGTGTTCTAAGTTGTATAAAAAATGTATATATAGAACGATTTCGTTAACAGTAAGTACACAATGAGTTGCGATGATAACTTGGATTCATAAAAAACATGAAAACCTACTTAAGAAAAAAAGAATGCATAACTTACCAGGAACCGGGGTAGAGGCTTTGGAAAAAGTAAAATTGAAAAGGTTAAAATGATCTTCAACTTCGATCTTGTCATAATATGCGTGGAAATATGTTTCAAAGCCATCTCTGAAAACATGAAACATCAAACAATTACTTTATTACATAAATAATGCATGGGAACATAATGAAACAATTTATTTGTACATCAACAGAAAGACATTCACTTGCAACCTCGAAAAGCTCATCTCAACATAAAACAAATCAAATGGAACTATGGAAGGAGAAACCCAAACATGTATTTATCATTTTGATGCTACACACTGCATATATATATATATATATATATATATATATATATATATATATATATATATATATATATACTAGCCGTTTACCCGCGCTAAGCGACGAGTGTGAATAGTTTCGGTAATTCGTTTCTTTTCGGCGAAGAATGATTAGTTTCAATTCAACGATTATTTTGCTTTATGAGATATGTTATATTAAAAATATGACACTATGTAATGACAAATGTCACAAACCATTAGTTTCAATTCAACAATTCATTTTCTTTCCGACGCACAATGTATTTTTTAATGTACTTGTCCTATGTATTTGTCGTTTTTGTGTATGTTGGATAAGTGTTTTCATACATTTGATCTATTGTTTATAAAATATATCATTTTCTAATTCATGATAATATAATAACCATAATCTAAACAAAATGTTTTGAATAAATCCTCATTAAAATAAAGAAGATGAGAACCTTTTTACTTTGCCTCTAGAACTTAATTGTTTTTTTTATGACTTTAGCCTTGAAATCAAGTGTTTTATTTAACCTATTTGTAGAAAGCTTACTTTATTTATAATAGTGAAATTCATAGGTCTGTAAATTGGGACTTTGGGCCATTGTTTACCCATTTTCCGATATATGTTCCTCCTGTATGGTCAGAGGGGTCTAAAGCACTGTCATCATCAATTTGGAAACACTGTTTGTCAGTTTTGAAACACACAAACTTGTGATAAAGGGGTATAACACATTAGAAAATAGTAAAATAGATTTAAGTTGAAATTTCTTACGGTAGGAGTAACCAATATCGCTTTTTCTTAATTGAAACTCTCATCATCTCTTTTGACTCTTTCTCCCTTCAAACTTTGCAAAATAATAATAATAATAATAGTAATAATAATAATAACCATTAAAACCAATATCTGATTGGGGTTTGTTTAAGACAAATACACAATAAATCTCCGTTGCATTCATACACCATATAAATTGGTACCGATAAATGGAATTACTAAAAGACCAAACTGGGGGACGGCGAATACTTTGTTTCGGTAATTACTTTCTTTTTGGGACAAAAACCATCTTGACCATATATGTAACTAAAAAAATTGGGACAAAAACTAATTTGATCAAAGTTATTTCCCCATTTTAACTAATTAAAGTATTTAATGTTTTTTTTTGACATTGCATCTTCGAGGTTGAGGTTTACTTTATATATATTTTTTCCTGTATATAGCTCATTTATTAAGTAAGATAAATATAAACATACTAAAATCAATAGATGTTATGTGAATGGATACACATAAATTAGTTGATGTTAATTTTATTTGCAGATAGAAAATGAAACGATGTCATTTTATCAAAAAAATTGTTATTTTAGTTTCATTAATAGAAAAATAAATTTAAAGTTTGACGTTGAATCTAACTAAAAAAATATGTGTATTAATTTTGTTATGTATTTATCCATTTGAGTGCATAAAGTATAAAATATTAGATTAAATAAATCAATTGATTGTAAAACGTATAAGTAAATATTAGAATGAATTTGACTCCTGACTATGAGGATTCAAGATACATATAGTAAGTAACCCAAGGCCAAATAGTTTGATGAAACAACCGAAAACAAAAAACATATTAAAGATTTGAAACATGTACAACAATGTAAAATATAAAAGTAATAAGGATCATAACAAAAGTATACTTATGACTGGTTGTATGTCTATTTTGTTTCCTATATAGTCACTTCTTTGATAACAGATCAAGCCCACATGCAGCATGTTACCACTTCAGCTGTAAGATCAAAGAACATAACAGAAGAGTAAATGCAAAAAATGAGTAAATGTGGGGAATTAACTACAGTTATACAATATTCATAAATATGGTTATGTAAAATTCAACAAAAAAGTAAATACAACTAATGGCTTATATAATTGATTTTGGACTCTTAGACCAGATTACCTATATTTGATTGTTCCTGATGTGGAGTTGATTTGGCTGAAGTTTTTTCCAATACTATGACCATTTTACCCTTGCACGACTTTTTCAGGTGGCAATGTTTGGTGCATTCATCTAAAGGATTCATCTAGATTTCTTATGTTTATACATGATATGGTGCTTTTTGATTCAAGATTGGCTGGTGGGAGAATTTTGCTTGTTTTGACCATTCTACCCTTAATGGTTTGGTTTTAGTTGCCTTATGGATGATGTATATCCATTATTCAAGCATTTATCTCCTTGCTACTACTGCCTAATTCTTTTGGCGTGTTTGGTTTGGAGTTTGAACCACTTTACCCCTACATCTTTGTGGGTTGATTGTTGGGTTGGTTGACTGGTGTTGGGTCTATAGTTGAAAGCTGCTATAAAACATATGAATACCATTACATCATGTCCAGTCCCCAACTAAACAATGTATGTGTATATAAAACTGAACATTTAATAGCACCAAAATCTTTTACATATCACTCTCTTTCATTACTCATAATCAACATCTGTTGCATATCTATCTCTTTCGTTTTACCTAATAATCTACATAAAATTGAATAGTTAATAGCACCAAAATGTCAAAAGATGCATTATTATTGAATCAAAAAATTTCAAAGCGTACACTCTATAGGTATCTTTCCCCCTTATTGCTTTAACATCAATATCATCAAGAATCCAGTGGAGGAAGAGAAGATCCCACACTTGAAACCTTGAAATCTGCATTAGAAACAATTACAACCAACAATCAATGAAAACTTACATTCTTAAGAGATATTTAAAATGCACAAAATTGAATCATAATTTGCATCAAACCTTCATGTTGAGTATGTTTGAACACATGGGTCCCACATTCACATGAAATATTCATATCTAATTGAGATAGAGGGGTGTATCGAGTTCTAGGTTTGTTCTTCTAGTCTTTTTGTTCTGGAACAAAATCAAAAAATATGACCTAGTATAGATCGAATATCCTCCTGTTCGCCCCTAGCACACAACACACAGGGATAAACCATGCTCATATCTCCATTTTGTAGAATTCAGAAATTCAGAAAATGAAATCGATTTTGCAGAATTCAAATTTTATAATCAATCTCAAAAGGAAAAAAATCAGGAAATCAATTTTTTTTCAGAAAATAAAGTTACTTTTACAGAAAAAGAAATCAGAAGCAAACCTAAATCGGACATATTTTGGCGTACGAAGAATGAAATCAGAAAATAGGAGGCGATGTTCGGATGTATCGGGCAGGGTTTAAGGTGGTGAATGGCGGATATGGATGGTGAAGGCGGACGAAAGCGGGGGGTGTGTGTATATTAGTGAAGAGGCAATCGAACCAAAATTAGTCTCTGGTTGATTGTTTGTTCTTGTGTTTGTTTATTGTTTGGAAAGTCACATATGAGAAATCTAACCTCCACCTATGTACATACATAGAAACGCAACCTTCCACATAAGCTGAAATAAAATAAAGAATAAGCTTACTATGTTTTGTCCCAGAGAAGATTTAACAGCCAAAATGTAGTATCGCACAATGAATAGCTCCAATCCCAAGCTTTGTAAGCTACAAATCGGACCCTGAAATCCTAAGATTAGATTTACAGAAATGAACAACATCAGGTTCTTAAAAGGATATAAAAACGAAAAAAAAACTCACTTGTTAGAAACCCTACAATGGAACCATATTCACTTCTAGAACTGCTGGTAATTAGTGAACCAAGCCCTAGCTTCCAAACAATCAAAATCAACCGGATCTCCACCTATATTTTAGAAAAATACATACATAGAAAATTTGACAGATACACATACAAATACATACACATATGTACATGAATAAACACACACACACATAATATTTCACAAAAAATGAAGAAATATGCCCAGAGTGTTGGATTTGAAAGGGAGGAAATAAAGATTACCTATTTGACTTCAAATCGTTGGAAACCTTCAATCATCAGTATTAAGATATTCCATTTCAAGAAACCCACCACCAACCTATGTTTTAATATATATATATATATATATATATATATATATATATATATATAGAGAGAGAGAGAGAGAGAGAGAGATAGAGAGAGAGAGAGAACGCCAGAGAGAGAGGGGGGTTAAGTTTCAAGTGGGTCTAATAGCGATGGTATGATGGTCTTGAATCGTTCAAGGTGTGTGCTCCTGGTATGGTGTGAGACGGTGGAGCTGGTGTGCCTGGCAGCTAATTAGACTTAGAGATAAGGAGAGATGGTTGAGAGAAGGGGGAGCATTTTATAGTGAGGAAAGATTTCAAAAATTTTAACTGAAAACAACATGAGAGTCAGAAAAAGAAGGAAGAAAGGATTTGATATATAGGGGAAGCCATAGAATCAGTTTATTTAGATAACCATAGAGCCGGGATTAAAGGCTGGGACCGAGTCAAAAACTGTTGCAGAGCGGAACGATTTTAGTGCATAAAGTCATTGTACAAATCGTATAAGAGATTGTACCTCTTAAAATTCAGCATTTAGGCCTAAATGCTTATTAAGGTATAAAGATATATATATATATATATATATATATATATATATATATATATATATATATATATATATATATAACAATTAGCACCTCTACAACAAAAAATAAATTAAAAGGCTTGTGAGCCTTTATTCATTACTTCTATGTAATATTTTTAACATCTAGTAACGAATATAACAGAAATTAGACAGAAGAAGGGAAAGGCTTGAGAAACTTACAATACCTGCTTTCTTTTTCAACGGTTTTCTTTCAAAGGCTGCAAAACATTTAAAATTCTAGAAATAAAAATTAAAATAAAAATTCTAAATAAAAAAATTGATTAACCAAAAGTTATGACAATTCCAGATCAACATGTTACAATACGTTTTTTTTGAAAAGAATTCCAGAATTAGTACTGCAAACATGATCAATATTCTTTGAAAATGAAATCGTGTTGGGGTTTTCTAGAAATAATTCGATTAAAAAAGGGAGAAGGCATTAGGGGAAGAGAACAATGTGGCAAAAGCCTCATAGTCCTAAAATTGAGTTTATAACCAATATGCTTCTATTAAACCATCAACATTGGCTAAAAAAATATACCCGAGATTTTCCTCAAAATCGAGCAAGCTTCAAGTTAAATCCAGAAACCTCATCTTCATCAGACTCATCTTTCACTTTTTCAGTTTCATTGAACCCTAAATCTTTTAACTTTTTCATCAACGTACCAAGATCCTCATGAATCTGCATATTGAACAACGTCTTTTAAATTTTCCCTAAACTTCACCCCTTCTTGACCTAACCTATTCCAAATATAAAAAAAGACAGAAGGAGCCAAGAAGAAATTATTCTCTCTAAAAGACTTGATATGATTTTTAATCATTCCATCAATAACAAAGAATTGAATTCCAAAACCAATTCGAATATTGTAATGAAAAATTGTACGATATCAATTGGTACATCATCCATAAACAACTCAAAAGACTTGTTGCAGAACATTCTTTTAATGATAAACATTGATAAGAAGAATTTAGAGAGGACAAACATGCATTATTCCTTGTGTTCAACATTAGCTCTAAGCTGAGGCTTTTAGGATTTTAAGCAAAGACACGCCGGATGCAGGAGGAAGGGTGCACCGGTGACATTGGGGGAGAGGCTCCCTAGAAATTAAGCACAACCATCATCGTGTTTGATCTCCAAATACCATCGGTGCAATCGACTGGAATAGCAACGACTCATCAAGCGGTGATTTGAAGCTCCATCCGACTGTTATGTAGAAGAGAGTAGTAATTCAAAGATGTGGATGGTGGAATGAAGGTGAGAAGTAAAGTAGAAAGGGAATTAGGGGTTAAGGAGAAACATCCGGTGAAGCAGTGGATGAAACTTGATTAGAGAGCGAGGTGGTGTGACAGGGAGTTAAACACGTACGATTGAAAACGGTAAAAAAAACTACCACATATATTGTTCATAAGATAGTTGTGATTTTATCATATATATATATATATATATATATATATATATATATATATATATATATATATATATATATATATATATATATATATATATATAATTCTAAGGGGCATCCACAATGCATTGAACTCTATAGAGTTCAATGGAGTGCCACATCATCATTCACTATTCCATACAACTCTATTCATTTTTATCCCACAATGCATTAAACTCTACAAGTTCAATGGAACATATTAAAAAAATATTTATTTAAAGATTTAAAGACTTTCCTTTTTCCCATTGAAGAGTTCAATGGTCATTAAACTCCAAATCCATTGAATGCCAAGGTGGCATTTCACAATGGTGGAGTTGTATCCATTGAATGACAAGTAGGAATGACACCTCATTCAACTCTTCCATTAAACTTCCCATTGTGGATGCTCTAAGTACCAAAGTGGGTGAAGTTATCACCACCTTTGGTTCACCCCTCTTTGCATCCTCCTACATTTTTCAATTTCACCCTCGACGATAGAAAATAACGTTTCTAATCATTCTACTTTTAAAAATATGTTTTTATCTTCTTAATTTTGAAACTTTTAAAATATCATTTTCTTTCATTCATTTTCTAATTTCTACTTTTTAAAATGTTGCTTTGAAGGGTATACATATGTCACCCCCTTTATTTTTTAAACTTTCATGTTTACCCCATAGTAAACATAATCTGATTCTCCTATAGTTACCACATCCCGACTTTGTAAAATGTGATTTTCACCCCTTGGCTTTGAACTTTATAAAATTCGTTAAGTTATAAAAAAACTAATCTATGTGTTTACTTTCAGGTATCATCGGTCATCATGGGAAGGCGAATGCGTGGGTATACACATTCAGCAGCAGCAATGAGGATTTCGCGCTTTAATATTACTTTGATTTTCAATAAATGTATTTGGAATAAACGGTTTTCTTCATAATATATTTATAATTGGGAAGCTTTACTTTAATAAAATGATTTTTTTTTTGTTGTGAATATGGGACGTTACAAGTTGGTATCAAAGTCCTGGTTTAAGAGAATTGGAGGACACTTGTGTGAATCCAGTCTCAAACTAGGATCCGAGAGTTTTCACAGAACGTTTTTGAAAAAGAATTTATAATAAAAGGGTTGGGTTAGGAACATAGGCTCGCTCTCTTGTCATGTTTTTGTTTTATTATTGGCTTGGGATCGGGAATGTGGTCCTTGAGTTACCTTTGCTTTTACAGGAAGATGTGGTGTGTACAGTCAGCCAGAGCCTGAATAGGAAAGTGGTCCCCAAAATACCCATACTTGTTATGTTTACTGAGTTTTGATTTTGTTGATATATGGATTGTTAGAAAAACATGCTAGTGGATAAGGTTCTTTTAGAAACTATTGGATAGAAGTGCTTGAGTTTGGTATTGCCTTATGCTATAGGGAATTGCTTGCTGTATGTTACTTGATTTTGTGATTGCTACGTGTATCTTTATTAGTTGTATATGGCCAGGATTGAATAGCCTTAAAATGGTCGACTTAGCCTTACTTCATGTTCCTTGTTTGGTTATGGACTTAGGGTAGAGTTGATTATTCAACAGTCTATCTGATCTCGTATTGTATATAACAAGCATGCATAAAAGCAACTGGTGGTGCGGGAAAGAGGATAATCCTAAGAAGAGTACCTAGGAAGTTAGTTGTGGCTCGTAGAAGAAGTGGGTGTTAGCACACCTAGGAGTGGTCTGGTGTAGTGACTTAGGGCTTTGGGATGAATTCTGAATCGATTATGGATAGGTGTGGAAGGTAGTATGGACCCGTACTACTGAAAGCATAGGATCCGTATGAGGTTCAATAGGAATATCGATGTTACTAAGGAACTAATAAGAGTGTGGCATGGTGTGTTGATCACTGTTTTTTTATGTCTGATCTTTCCTTGGTATATTTTTTTTAGTATGACGACTTTTGAAGGTTTAGGATTAGAAGTTGGTGGCACTAGGAGAGCAGGTATAAGTAATAAGGAGATCCGTGGGATCATTGTTGCCGAAGTGGTCGAGGCGTTCAGGGAGGTAATTTCGGAGTTGTTTGGGTCAGTCAAGACCACGTTGATCGAAGAGTTTTACAGGCGCTATGCCGCCACACAGATAGCTGCTGCCGCAGCCACTACATCAGTCACCATTGCAGGATCTCAGAGAGGCGAGACGATCCACTGCCGGGAGTTCAGTTATACGAAGCCTCCGAAGTTCATAGGTGACATGGACTTGATCATCGCTTCAAGGTGGATTTCTGATGTGGTGGGATGTTTCTTCACATGTTCATGTCCTGAGGGCCAGAATGTGAAGTTTGCGCTGAATCTTCTTCACTGGGGTGCGAAGGATTGGTGGGAGTTTGTGACCCAGGGCTTTTCGTAGGCTGAGCGAGCCACAATGACTTGGGAGCAGTTTCTGGACATGTTTCGAGTGAAGTATATTCCTCTTGTGGAGAGGGAGCGATAGTAGTACCTAGATCTGAGACAGACGACCGAGTCGATGATGAAGATCACCAAGATGTTCACCGAGAGGGATTTGTTCTATCCTGAGTTCGCTGCTTCATAGCATGCTCAGATGACTCGATACTTGAGCATGCTTAAGATGGATATTTGGCAGTTTGTGTCTACCCAACGATACAGTACCCTCACTGAGGTTCAAGATGTCACGAGGAGGCGAGAGATTGAGACACAAACCCATACGAGGGAGCAACGTCAGGCTTCGGTTCAGTCCCAGCCTGCAGCAAAGCGGTTCAAGTCCACCAGCCGAAGTTCGGGATCAGCTGAAGGGAGGTGTAGATCTTTTCTATGTCATAGGTGTGGCGAGGAGGGTCATTTTGGTAGAGATTGTAGGTGGAGTGCGTAGGTTTGTTTCCATTGTGTCCAGGAGGGCCACATCAGAGCTTATTGTCCCTTTCTCATTTTTGATGAGGTGTTGGACCCTACACCCCTAGCTTGGCTGTTACCCGACGGTCGTCATGGGATAATAGGAGTTTCAGGGGCTGAGGTTTGAGTTGTCAGTTCTTCTATTTCGTCGGTTGTTGCAGTGTTGGTATTCATTTGTATTTTCTGTTTATGTTTTGAAGTCCAGTTGTAACCTTGGATGATCAATCAAATGGAATTGCCTTATTAGCTATATTCTAATTGAATTCTTACTATGAATGGATTAATTATCTTTGTCCTCGATTATATGGGAGTTGAAATTTGTGAATGTTGTGTGGGTTCAGATTCTCCTGTGTATATGGATATCGGTGGTTGGGATCAAGTAGTAGAGTTCAAGTGGGTATGGGCATCAAATGATTGTATAGTTGTCATAGTCTAGAATATTTCAAGTGGGGGATAGTGGAATCTCGCAACAAGAAGACCTTTTTCCAAAGTTTGGTTCTCAGTCGAATTTCTCTAAGTTGAAGACTTCCGCGCAACTGTTGAATCTTCAGGTTTTGCGTCAAGATCACCGTCATCTGTTGGATTTCCCTTCGAGTTGTATTAGTTTTGTGACAACCCGAAACTTTTTCCGTTTCCGTTATACGATTCCGTTAATAAAATTTGAATTTTATTAATTTTTCCGTCAAACTTCTTGGTTTAGAAAATCATCTAGTTTTATATAATTAAATTTATATACGAGTCGGAACCAAAATCGCGCGAAAACTCGAATATCTCGAAAAATCAAACAATTTCCGGGCTAAGTGAGTTTACGGCCGTAAACTCGTTTGTAACGCCCGTGTTTCTAGGCTAGGAATTAATATTGTAATAGTCTAGGTTAACCTTTGTAACTCATTTTGAAGAAATAAAGAGGAATTATGTGATTATTATGTGAATTATGTGTTTTATGCTTAATTATTAGGATTTAATTAATTAAGAATAAAAATAAGCGTCGGAAATAAATATTAGATAAACCCAATATCTATGAAGGAAGTTGTAGTGGTCATGACAAGGATTCTGGATATATAAAGAATACCGAAATCCGAGTTATAACGAAGAAGTTATGACCTGTCGAAGTTCCGCGACAAAACCGGCACGGTGCCGAATGACGTAAAAAGTGAGTTTTTGATAAACTACTTTTTAGCCTTGGTGATCTAAATAAAAGTCGTAGTGTTCGTTAAACCGAGAGTATGCGTAAAAAGAACGCCCAAATCTGACTTCGTATGAGGAAGTTATGATTTTTCTAAGTTTCAGCTTAGCAGTAGACAGCTAAAAACTCGAATTTTAGATTGAGTGATTTTTAGACGACACAATCTAAACGAGAATCGACGGTCTCGTCAATAGTAGTGCAAC